GATATCAATGGGTTTCTTGAAGTGCCTGGCGTTGATGTACGAAAAGCAGAGAGAGTACGTCATGTGAGCCCAGCCAAGAATGATACTCATCTTCATCTTGTAACTGTTGCTGAAGAGGAGGTCGTTCTCAGTGCCATGCCATCTCCAGTCAAGACCAAAGGGGTAGCGGTAGTTGGGGTCCTTCAGCTTGCCGACAAGTGTATCACCCTCAGTCCAGCCTTCAGGAACATCCCACTCCCACTGACTGCTAAACAGTGTCATGGACTTGGAGAAGACATCATTGTAGATGAGGCCGGTGTAGACCGAAAAGACAGCCATGACAAGAGCGATGTAGCGTCCGTAATAGACCATGGCGAAGAGCTCGAAGGTGACCTTCTTGAGCGGCTTCTCCCAGTAGATCATGGCCAGCGAAGCGCAGAGCATGATGATGGCGTGACCGAAATCACCAAACATGACGGCGAACAGGAAGGGGAAGGTAACAATAACGGGAATGGCAGGGTTGACTTCTTGGTAGGTGGCGGTACCATAGGCGTTGACGATGGTTTGGAATGCTTCGGTAAACTTGTTGGTCTTGAGATAAGTAGGAGGCTTCCTGTTGGTGCGAATCTCGTTGATGATGGTTGGCACTGACAGACCAGCGCGATTTGTCACATCCTGGAGGGTCGACCTGATCAGAGGTAGATCGTGCTTGGGGCACCAGCCCTCGGCGATGAGAGTGCGGCGAGCACCATCGTAGGAGAAGAGGTTGAGCGTGTTGTAGACAGCCTTTTCTTTGCCGATCAGTACCACCCAAGCAGAAAGGGCGCGAGAAATCTGAGTGAGCTCTGCCTCAAGAGTCTGCTGGGTGTTGCGGAGAACGTTCTGGACATCGTTAAGTCTAGCATTGACCTCATGCACCTGGTCCCGACGCAAGTCACTGTTCTCATCAACATTGTATACCTCAGCGCCCATTGACTCTGAGATCTTGCGAATCTTGGCGAGGATCTCCTTGCCGTGAGCAAAGATGACAAAAACATTCTTGGCGACGGGCTCGTTGGTGGAAGGGTCGATGAGAGGCTCGGGGATCTCGGCCTGGTTCATGTAAAGGTTACCACGGAGAGTTCTCCAGAGAATACGCTCAAAGGCGGCAACACGGTCTCTGGCAATGACACCAGCTACAAAGCCAATGTTCATGACGGAGAAGGACCGCTCCACATCGGCAGCGCCGTTGTTGTGTTCGATATCCTGCAGGAGCGGGGCGTCGTCGTTGTCGATCGAGGCGCGAATCTCTTCTACGCTGCCGTGGGCACGGTCAAAGAAGCCGCCAGCCTCACGCAGGACCCAGCGCCACTCGGTGAGCTCGACCTCGCGCTTCTTCAGTGTCTCGTAACTTTCGTTCAGGGACGAAACACGCTGCTCGAGGCCCTGGCATCGTTCGGCCAGCTCATCAATCTCGGTGGTGGTCGGAGGGGCGAGGGTCTCAACATCCAGGTCGAGTTTGCGGAGAGGGATGCCGGCCTTGTCCATCTGAGAATGGAAGTAGCCTGTTTAACTGCGGTCAGCGAGGTGTCGGATGTTTGAGGCGGTGCAGGCGGAAAACATACGAAGCTGACGTTCAACATTGTCGAGGCGTCTGATATCTTTGGTATAAGCTCTCTGGAAAGCACTTAGGTCGCCGTTGAGCTGGTTGGCAGTCTGGTGTTAGTTGAAAGCTCCCGAAAAGGCGGCTGGCCGGATGGTGGTGGTGGAGCTTACGTCGCGGAACTGGACGAGGCCAAGTTCGCCCAGGGCGTTGACAACTTCACGGCCTATTTCGTTGGAAATGTAGAGCTGGACCATGCTCATGTCCGCTGAACGGAAGGGGGTGTCCTTTGTCGGCGCCATCGCGACGTGTGAGCCGATTTGCGATTGCCGGCGACAAGATGGATGGTGATGTGCTTGTACAGCGAGGTGCTGGGAATTGGAGTTGCAGGTTGGAGGAGCTGATGATGGTGCTGCTGCAACCAACAACCAGAGACGTTGGAGCTGGCCCGGCCGCCGCGTGTCGGCAAAGCTTCGGCAGGCAGCGCCGCTCCTGTAACAGCCACCGCCAAGCCTTCCTGGATGCACCCCTGGAGTGTGACGTCAACTTACACGGCTCCTTCTTTTTGGTTTTGCAAATGTAGTGTTTAGGGGCAATGAGGAAAGAGACATAAAGATGATAGGTCCTAAGGAAGGCAGTATAGATGTCCGTATCAGAAGTGGCAGAGCAACTAGATACTGACAGCAGGTTCTCATCCCAAATCGAAATAGATATTATACCCAACCCCAACCCCGAACCATGTCAACGCGATCAAGGAGCATGGTCCAAATTGAGCTCGATATAAATAACGTGCATGATAAGCGAGCGCCGCAGATAAGCGAGCGCCGCAGATAAGCGAGCGCCGCACTTTTCGACGCGACCTAACCCTCCACCTTTAACATTCCATTTCTGAACCAAAAACCATGTCTTCTACCTCTAACGAAACTAAAGTAATTTTGGCCGCTAAAGTTATAAAAAATAATAAAAACCTAAATAAACGAGCCTCAGTAAAGATCTATAAAGTTAACGATAAAATTATTTGCCGTCGACTTACCGGTATACCTGTACGACGCGATACTCTAATTAATTTGCGTAAACTTATAAATTTAAAAGAAAAAACGATTATTTAATATATAATTAAGCTATTTATATATATATTTTATTCCCGGCTTTTATATATAAAAAATATAATTAATTAATTACTATATAAATATAATACGCCTCTTATTAACGTATAATAGGCTTATAACTTTATTAAACGTTAATTAAAACTTCGGATACGTTTTATATATAAATATAATTATTAAAGAACTAAATATAAGGATTTAAAAATTATTAGTAAGTAATTTACTTTCGTACGGAATATTAAAATTAAATATAATATTATAAATAATAATATTTATAATTTTGTTAATGTGTGGGTACTACTAAGTGCCTTACTTACTGCCCTACAGATTGATATTACAGTGGGCAGTACTGCTATAAGCAGTAATAGAACTTCCCGGCTTAGATCCCTTTAGAATGTTCTTTACAAGGGACCCTTGAAGGCTTACAGGGCTACTGTGGCCTAAGGCTTAGTCAACAGGATACTAGAACCTTTTAAAGTGGCTACAGGCTTACGTAGTAAGTCGCCATAATAGCATAATTTACAGGGCACTTCTGCTGCCGAAGGTTCTATGGATTTCCGTGAGTCTACACTAGACCCACCTAAGCCCACCAAATACCCTAAAGTGGTATAGGGGCTTCCAGGGCCTACAGGACCCACAGTAGGCTTACGAAGGCCTATATATAGACCTTTCCTCTCTCCTGTAGAATAGTTTTCTTTCTTTCCAAAAGGGCAAAAGCTTAAGGCTAAGGCCAAAGGCCAAGGCTAAGGGTAATAAAGGCAATTCTTATTCCTTATACCTCACTATATTACAGTGCTTTACCTTCCTTCGGCACTGCCGTCGTATCCTCCCGCTTCCGCTTGCGCACTGCTGTATTTTACAGTGTCACAGTTAACCCAACGGCAGGTCGCGCCACATGTGGGGCGCAGGTCGCCCCTAGCCAATCATTCAGGAAGTCAGGGAACAAGCCGATCAGGGCTAGGCAAAAGTGCTATGGCGCCAAGGCTCACGAGCAGTCTGCAGGATGCAAGATGCTAGGGATGATCAGAGGTATAGCACGACGAGCATAATGCAGATGCAATGTGCTAGGAGTAATTAGAGGTATAGCACGACGAGCACAATATAGGATATAATGTGCTAGGAGTGATCGGGCCTATAGTAGGGCAAGTACCTTACGGCCCTAAGGTCTATATATACGGAGGAACTAGCTAATATAGATAAACAGTTCCGTAATATATAATTTAAATTTATATTTACGGTAATTAATATTTATATTAAAATATTTTATTATATATTATTTAGTTATACTAAACTAATTATTAAAAATTATTTTTAATTAGTATCCCTTTTAAAGGTTCTATATAGAGATTCGTTATACGTTATATACTTACTTTAACTCTATTACGGATAAGTTAAAAGCGTTTTTTCATTACTATAGCTTAACCCGAAAACGTTTAAATAGGAAGCGTCCCGCCTAACCTAATTATCGAGGGACTTTTTACGGTAGACGTTAGGTTTAGGGTTATTACGACTTAATAGTTTATTGATTATATTAAAGAACTTAAAGCCGAAGCCTAGTAAACTAGGGAGCAGGTTTTTACTCTCTCGGCGGCTAAGCCCACGTACGTAATTAAATTCCCGGTACCGGAGTATTATAGAAGCGGAAAGGTAAAGTTTAAAGGTTTCTTAATCTAGTTTAAAACCTACTTTCGTTATTACCCGGAATAGTTTAATACGGAGGAGTCGAAGGTAATATATATAATTACCCGGCTTAAAAATAAAACTTTTATTTAATTTAAACTTATTTTTAATAATTATTATAAAATAATAATAAAAGATTAAAAAAATATTATTATTTAGTATTTTCGGAGTTACCGAGCTTTTAAAATAAAGTTTAAGGAAATATTTAAAGAATATAATAAAGGTAGGCGTACGTAAAAGAGGCTTACGAATTTACGGTAAATACGTTTAATAACGGAATACGTTATTTAGTTTAAAATTAATAATTTACGTAACGAGATTAATAATAAGGGGTTAATATAAACCTTTTATAATAGCTTTAAGGAAAAAGTAAAGGATAAATTATATAGGGAGGAGAGGCTTAATACTATTAATAAGTATATCGCTATAACTATACGGATCGACGATAAATAATTTTAGTATTGTACGGAGAAAAGAAACTATAATAATTAAAGTTATTATAGAAATTATTACTTTAACGATAAACGTAAATAGTAATACCCGATTATTAATTACTCCGGTATTATATATTCGGGATTTATAAATATTAATATTATATAATAATAAAAGCCGTAAAGCTAAAGCTAAGGTAGAGATAATTATAAATATTTTAATTATAATAAAATAAAATACTTTAAAAAGGATTACCGGGTATTTAAATAATTTAAATAGAAGAAAGAAGTCGCTATAATAACTATTATATTAAGGGAACCGAGGGTTGTAAAGGTTATAGTTATTGGGTACTAGTAAAGTAAAGTAATAAATTTCGAAAAAGATTTTAATTAGTACGTCGAATAAAAGGAAGTAGAGTTTTAGGGACTATAAAAAATAATAAAAAAACTAAAGGTAAAGTATAAAGAAAAAAACTTTTAAATATTAGTATTTTAAAATCGATTAATATAAATTATTATAAAAATCGTTATAGAGGTTACTAAAAATAATAACGTTATATAGTAGGAAAAACTTATTAAATAAATAATATTAAAAAAGTAGTACGGTAAGTATAAGATTACTATTTTATAAGAAATATTATTATTTATAAAGTTTATATATAAAAGTTAGAAAAAATATTAGAAAAGTAAGAAAGTTATTAATATTAAAATCGCATAATTATTAAGAAATATATTTATATTTTATATAGTATATATTTTATAAAGGAAATATAATATAATTTTATTTTAAATATTTAGAATATCGGAAAGTACTTTAGTTTTTAATATATTATATATAAATATATAAAATATTATTAAAATAAGTTACTATACGATTATTAGCCGTTCGTATTAAAGTATATAAAATATTATATCGAATACGTAAATAGTTAAAATATAAACGATAATATATATTTTTAGAAAGAAATAATATTAAGTTAATACTTAAATCTAAATTACGTATTATATTTATAAAAGAAAGATAAACGATATTATTAAATAAAGGTATTTAAATAAACGATTAAATAAAAAAACTATTATTAAATATATATACGGGAGAATATTAGGTACGTAAGAGACGGAAAATAGGAGGAAGTTAGGTAAGTATAATTAAAAAACTTTATATTATTAAATAACCCGGAATAAGAGGACGCTTTTAAATAATATAATCGTTTAAGAAATAACTTACGGCCCTTTGCGGGGGCCGATAACCTTTAACGAACTACGAATAGTATTTTCGGAAGTATTAATATAAAGTAAAGGTATAGGATAACGACCCGGTACTCGTTAGCGAGGTTATTACTATATAGGGAAAAAATAAAAAAAATAAACGTTTTTAAATTATAATATATTAAAAAAATATTTAAGTAATAATATTAATAAATAAAGGTATAAAGACAAACTTAATTTCGTTATAGTTTATATATTAAATTAAAATACTATAGAAAAAAAAAAAATTATTATATAAGGATTATTTCCGACGTAAAAGGTTTATAAAGAAATATTATTTTTAAATATTATAGTTAAAGGAAAAATAATTTTAATTATATTTAATATTATAAATATAAAACCCTCGAAAGATATAATCCTAAAATAATTATAATATAAAAATTATAATTTAAATATCGATTAGAAGGATAGTAGTTACTTACGATTAAAAGAATTTTAAAAGTATTTAATTAACGATAAGAGATTAGGCATACGTATAGAGTAGAGTATAGGATAAGCATCCTCTACAGCACTACCGTAAGGAGCTTAAAAAATAATAGTATACTCTATTAATATAGGTAGTAAGATCGAAGAAGTAGGGTTAATAACGTTAGTAAAGATATTGGAGGTTAATAAATATATTTACTATAATTATATAAAAAAAAACGAAAAAAAGGCGGTACTAATAGAATATCGAAGATACTTAGCCTTTACGGTTAAGTATTTGGAGGGACTTCTAGAGCGAGGACCGTAGGACTACGAAATTAAATTAAAAGAAAGAGCTAAGTTACGGCTATTTAAGGTTTATTATATTAACGATAAATAAAGTAAGGAGCT